CGGAACTAAACTCAAAACGCGGGTCGTCCATCCTACTCAGCCCCGTAGCTAGAAAACTTATTCGGGGGGGGGGCAAGTTTGTCGACAGAGGGGGCTTCATGTAAATATTTATATTTTAATAATACACTCAGATAACTACTTTATTTTTTCTGAGTTTTTATATTTGAAAAAACATTAAAATAATCGGAAACGTCGATTTTTTACGCTAAATTTTCGTAAAAACCTGTCGAAGTCCAAAAAATTAGTACGGTACTTGGTTAAAATGCTGATTAAAACAGAGAATGTAGATTCACAAACAGCTGTACTGCATCCAAAAATTTGTGTAGTGGCCATATAGGTAACATCCAATTTATTTGAGTTTATTTTTTTGCATGTTTAGTACATATTTTAAAAATCCGACTTCGAAACCAAATATTTCGAAACTTTTGTTACGGAACCATGAACTCGTCATTTTTTTTTTAAACTCGTCGAGATGTGTATTTCAGAATTTTTTGTCAACTTTAACAAAAGCTCAATTTTTGGAAACCCATATAAAATTTTTGACTTTTCCCAATCATTTTCGAAAATTACCAAAAGAATTCCTTTGTTAATCTCGATTTCTTCCAAAAATCGTTTTGGATTCAATTTTTTTGAAAATTCTTACATTTTTTGCAGAATCGACGGAAGAAATATGGCAATTTTTGAGAACCTGTATCAAATTTTTGACTTTTTTCAAGCACGTTCGAAATTACCAAAAGGGATTCCTTTATTGATTTCGATCTCCAGATGTTGTTTTTGGTTGTTTTTTCGAAAATTCGTACAATTTTTCCATAATCGCCAAAAGAAATATGGTAATTTTTGAGAAATTTTGAAAATTCCAGCTTGAAACCGAGTATTTCGAAAATTTTGATCCGGAACCTTGAACCTGTCATGTTTTTTTAAGCTCGTCGAAATCTATATTTCAGAATTTTTTGTCAACTTTTACGAAAGTTCAGTTTTTGAAAACCCATATAAAATTTTTGGCTTTTTCCAAGCATTTTCGAAAATTACCAAAAGAGTTTCCTTTGTTCATGTCGATTTCCAGAAATCGTTTTGGATTCAATTTTTTTGAAAATTCTTACATTTTTTCCAGAATCGACGGGAGAAATATGGCAATTTTTGAGAACTTGTGTCAAATTTTTGACTTTTTTTCAAGCACGTTCGAGATTACCAAAAGGGATTCCTTTATTGATTTCGATCTCCAAATGTTGTTTTTGGTTGTTTTTTTCGAAAATTCGTACAATTTTTCCACAATCGCCAAAAGAAATACGGTAATTTTTGAGAAATTTTGAAAATTCGAGCTCGAAACCGAGTATTTCGAAAATTTTGATCCGGAACCATGAACCTGTCATGTTTTTTAAGCTCGTCCAAATCTATATTTCAGAATTTTTTGTCAACTTTTACGAAAGTTCAATTTTTGAAAACCCATATAAAATTTTTGACTTTTCCCAAGCATTTTCAAAAATTATCAAAACAGACTCCTTTGTTCATCTCGATTTCCAAAAATCGTTTTGGATTCAATTTTTTTGAAAATTCTTACAATTTTTCCAGAATCGACGGAAGAAATATGGCAATTTTTGAGAACCTGTATCAAATTTTTGACTTTTTTCAAGCACGTTCGAGATTACCAAAAGGGATTCCTTTATTGATTTCGATCTCCAGATGTTGTTTTTGGTTGTTTTTTCGAAAATTCGTACAATTTTTCCACAATCGCCAAAAGAAATATGGTAATTTTTGAGAAATTTTGAAAATTCGAGCTCGAAACCGAGTATTTCGAAAATTTTGATCCGGAACCATGAACCTGTCATGTTTTTTTAAGTTCGTCCAAATCTATATTTCAGAATTTTTTGTCAACTTTTACGAAAGTTCAATTTTTGAAAACCCATATAAATTTTTTGACTTTTCCCAGGCATTTTCAAAAATTACCGAAAGGGATTCCTTTATTGATTTCGATCTCCAGATGTTGTTTTTGGTTTTATTTGGTTGAAAAGTCGTAAAATTTTTCAGCAATCGCCAAATGAAATGTAATTTTTGAACTTTGAAATCGAATGTTTCGAAAATCTTGATCTGGGACCATCTAGACCTTGTGTTTTTTGATTAAGCTCGTCGAGATCAACATTTCAGATTTTTTTGTGGATTTTTAGTCAACTTCAACAAAAGCTAAATTTTTGAAAATCCATAAAATGTTTTTGACTTTTCCCAACCGTTTTCGAAAATTAGCAAAAGGGATCTCTTTATCGATTTCGATCTCCAAATGTTGTTTTTGGTTTTATTTTCTCGAAAATTTGTACAATTTTTCCAAAGCCGCCAAAAGAAATGTAATTTTTGAGAAATTTTGAAATGTCGACTTTGAAACGGAATTTTTCGAAAATCTTGGTCTGGGACCATCAAGACCTTATGTTTTTGGATTAAGCTCATCGAGATCTACATCTCGGAATTTTTTGTTGATTTTTTGTTAATTTCAACAAAAGCTCAATTTTTGAAAATCCATATACATTTTTTGACTTTTCCCAAGCATCTTCGAAAATTAGCAAAAGGGATCTCTTTATTGATTTCGATCTACAGATGTTATTTTTGGTTTTATTTTTTTGATATTTCGTCGAATTTTTCCACAATCGCATAAAGAAATAACTTTTTTTTAAGTCACTTTTGAGATTTTTTAGAAATTTTAGGTAGAAACCCAATATTTCGTAAATTTTGCTCCGGGAGCATGAACATGTTTTTCGATTAAGCTCATCGAGATCTATATTTCAGAATTTTTTGTCAACTCTAACAAAAGCTCAATTTTTGAAAACTAAATAAATTTTGACTTTTCTTAAGCATTTCCAAAAATTACCAAAAGTCATTCATTTATTTATTTCAATCTTCAGATGTTGTTTTTGGTTTTATTTGATCGAAAATTTGTAAAATTTTTCTAGAATCGTCAAAAGAAATAGGAGTATAATTTTTGAGAAATTTTAAAAAGTCGACTTGGAAACCGAATAGCAGCAAGACCTTATGTTTTTTGACTAAACTCGTCGAGATCTACATCTCAGAATTTTTTGTAGATTTTTAGCCAATTTCAACAAAAGCTCAATTTTTGAAAATCTATAAAAAAAATTTGACTTTTCCCACGCATTTTCGAAAACTAGCAGAAGGGATCTTTTTATTGATTTCGATCTCCAAATGTTTTTTTTTTGGTTTTATTTTTTCGAAAATTCGTACAATTTTTCCAGAGCCGCCAAAAGAAATGTAATTTTTGAGAAATTTTGAAATGTCGACTTTGGAACCGAATTTTTGAAAAATCTTGGTCTGGGACCATCAAGACCTTATGTTTTTTGATTAAGCTCATCGAGATCTACATCTCAGAATTTTTTGTCGATTTTTTGTCCATTTCAATAAAAGCTCAATTTTTAGAAAATCCATATAATATTTTTGACTTTTCTCAAGTACATAGTAGGCTATGGAATAAAATGTGACATGTTCATTTTTTTATAGGGTGATATTGCCAAATAATATACCCTGTAAGAAAATAAAGGTGGGGCGGGTGGGGCCAGTTAATATGCTTCGGCAATCGGCATTATATTGAAATTTTATTACTAATTTGAAATTTATAATGTATAAGTCTTCCAGGGGGGGCAACCACAACTGCTAGGGGGGGCTCAGCCCCCTCTTGCCCCCCCGTAGCTATGGGGCTGATCCTACTCATTACAATTGAAAAGTGGCATCCCACCACGTGACCGCGCATCGATCCCCACTCGTAATTATCCGTCACGTGCCTCTAACTTCCGCAATCGCATAAACTCAAAGAAAACTGTTACTGACGTTTTCAGCTTTCGCTTCGCCGGCGTAATTTTATTTGTGAATTTTCCAATTAATAATTTCGTCGTGTACAAAAGCAAAAATTAGCTTTGCTCTGTCAAATGCAAGAGCCGGAACGAAAATGAAATTTTAGAGGCGAATTTTCTTTGACTCGAGATAAACATTGATGAGTTTTCACGTGAGCCACTTTTCGGGATTCGATTAATTTTCTTTTACGGCTTGTTTTGACTGCGAGCAGATGGAAGAAATGTTTATAACAATGTTTAGGCGAGGAGCCCGAAAGCAATAAACGCAACGGAACCGTTATATTAAAAATCCCTTTTGATATCGGATTTAATATAGGAGTCTTTGAGAAAACGCTTTTAGTTTTGGCGTGTGGAGCAGATTTCGAATTTGCACGAGGCATCGCCGAAGAATAACAAAGAGGGCTTTCTTGGATGCGAATTCGAAATTATAGGGCATGTTGTGCTTGTTTGTTTGGCGGGAGAGAACAAAGCTAATTAATTAAAGGAGGTTTAATGAAACTGTGCAAGGAATTGCCGCTGCAGGAATCTGACAGCTGAAACTATAGGAATCGATACAAACAACTCTGATACAATTTATCAAAAAAAAAGTGGAACGCAAACGCATTATTATCCTCGCAACACTGAACAATTAGTCATTATTTTGCTACACATCTTTCAAACGTCTTTAATCCCACCGCTGCCACTAAACGCCACAGATACCAGACTTTCTATCCAAACTGACATTCAGTTACCGCTGATACAACGTAAAATCGATGTAGACTGAATATTTCATCTGGCAATTTCCACATGTAATCAGTCTACGATAAATTCATTGAACCATCATTGCTTAATTACCAATTAATTGCAGCATATAGAGTTTCATTTTATTCAGACAAAGCATCCAAAGCAGACCCTTCATGACCCGAAGCCACACATCCAACAACTAAATTAGCGGTTTAATTATGTGACTATTGTTAGAACGTTTCATTAATCTCACTTCATTAACGGACTGAAAAAATACACACGGACTACTCCCCTCCCCCGACATAAATATTGGTTGTCTCTTATACATATTATCAATGTTATTCAAGCGTAGACAAACGATAAGTGTGGCGCCCTCTGTACGTTGTAATGTAAAACTTGATACAGTTTACTGTAATTATTGATTCATTTCAGGTCAGAAGTTCGCTATGAGGAACACGAAAATACTCCTAGCTGCGATTCTTAGAAAGTACAAAGTCAGATCCGAAAAGAAGATAAGCGAAATGAAATACAACCTGGAAATTGTTCTTAGACCGCAAGGAGGACTGAAAGTCGCGCTGGAGCTGAGAAACAAATGACACTTTTGATCTTCCCTTGTCCGTTGTAATTGATTACTGTGTAACTGTTTATTTATTGTAGTTTATTCAATAAGGATTTAGTTAGTTTAGCAATTAGGAAATTTAATCCGGTTTAAAAATAGGTGTTTTTAATCGCCAGGGTCTTAAATATCAAATATTTATGTGAGAACATAATATTTATGCTTTACACTTCACAATATTTGAGAAAGTTTTGGGTTGAAGTTGGCCGTCTTGAGTGAAAATAGGCAAATACGAAATGATGTTTTTCCTTGAAAGGTGAGTGCTAAACTTTCGTCAAATATTCATCCAAATTGTTCTAATTAGTTATCAGTTATGTTTAGGTTGTTGTCTTGTATGTAAAGTGAATAAATATTACATGTTATACTTTTTTTCATTTTTCCTCTTCTTTGAAACTAGTCACATTCTTAAAAACACGGGAGCCCCTGGGGAGGTTTCATTTTATTAAAAAAGATTGCCCCCCCCCCCCAGAAGGTTCCACATTATAAAAAAAAAAACAATTGGAGTGCCCGAGAAGGTTTCATTTTATTAAAAAAAAATGGGGGACCCCGAGAAGGTTTCACCATCTTTAAAAAAAAAGACAGTTGGAGCCCCCGAGAAGGTTTCATATTCATTTTTTGAAGTTTTCAAAAATTCAAATTTCGCAACGATTTTTTAGAAAATCTTGCTTCGTGACCATCAACATGCTATATTTTTGGAATCAGCGTGTCGAGATCTACGTCCTTGAATTTTTTCATAATTTTTAGACAACTTTTTTAGAATGGAAATTTTTAACGGTCCCCCTTCTTCAAATTTCGCAAAAATTTTGACATTTTCGAAACTCAACTAAATACATTTTCCTGTAGATTTCGAGCCGTAGAACTCAAATCCGGCTTCGGTTTTTTGATACATGCAACCGTTTTTCCAGAATCGGCCGTTGAAATTTCGAAATTTTTGAAATTTTCAAAAATTCGCATTTCGCAACGATTTTTTCGAAAATTTTGCTTCGTCACCATCAACATGCAATATTTTTGGAATCAGCGTGTCGAGATCTACGTCCTTGAATTTTTTCATTATTTTTGGACAACTTTTTTAAAATTGAAATTTTTTAACGGTCCCCCCTTCTTCAAATTTCGCAAAAATTTTGACATTTTCGAAACTCAACTAAATACATTTTCTTGTAGATTTCGAGCCGTAGAACTCAAATCCGGCTTCGGTTTTTTGATGCATGCAACCGATTTTCCAGAATCGACCGTTGAAATTTCGAAATTTTTGAAATTTTCAAAAATTCGCATTTCGTAACGATTTTTTCGAAAATCTTGCTTCGTGACCATCAACATGCTATATTTTTGGAATCAGCGTGTCGAGATCTACGTCCTTGAATTTTTTCATAATTTTTAGACAACTTTTTTAAAATTGAAATTTTTTAACGGTCCCCCCTTCTTCAAATTTCGCAAAAATTTTGACATTTTCGAAACTCAACTAAATACATTTTCTTGTAGATTTCGAGCCGTAGAAATCAAATCCGGCTTCGGTTTTTTGATACATGCAACCGTTTTTCCAGAATCGATCGTTGAAATTTCGAAATTTTTGAAATTTTCAAAAATTCGCATTTCGCAACGATTTTTTCGAAAATCTTGCTTCGTGACCATCAACATGCTATATTTTTGGAATCAGCGTGTCGAGATCTACGTCCTTGAATTTTTTCATAATTTTTAGACAACTTTTTTAAAATTGAAATTTTTTAACGGTCCCCCCTTCTTCAAATTTCGCAAAAATTTTGACATTTTCGAAACTCAACTAAATATATTTTCTTGTAGATTTCGAGTCGTTGAACTCAAATCCGGCTTCGGTTTTTTGATACATGCAACCGTTTTTCCAGAATCGACCGTTGAAATTTCGAAGTATCTGAAATTTTCAAAAATTCGCATTTCGCAACGATTTTTTCGAAAATCTTGCCTCGTGACCATCAACATGCTATCTTTTTGGAATCAGCGTGTCGAGATCTACGTCCTTGAATTTTTTCATAATTTTTAGACAACTTTTTTAAAATTGAAATTTTTTAACGGTCCCCCCTTCTTCAAATTTCGCAAAAATTTTGACATTTTCGAAACTCAACTAAATACATTTTCTTGTAGATTTCGAGCCGTAGAACTCAAATCCGGCTTCGGTTTTTTGATACATGCAACCGTTTTTCCAGAATCGATCGTTGAAATTTCGAAATTTTTTAAATTTTCAAAAATTCGCTTTTCGCAACGATTTTTTCGAAAATCTTGCTTCGTTACCATCAACATGCCATATTTTTGGAATCAGCGTGTCGAGATCTACGTCCTTGAATTTTTTCATAATTTTTAGACAACTTTTTTAAAATTGAAATTTTTTAACGGTCCCCACTTCTTCAAATTTCGCAAAAATTTTGACATTTTCGAAACTCAACTAAATACATTTTGTTGTAGATTTCGAGCCGTAGAACTCAAATCCGGCTTCGGTTTTTTGATACATGCAACCGTTTTTCCAGAATCGACCGTTGAAATTTCGAAGTTTCTAAAATTTTCAAAAATTCGCATTTCGCAACGATTTTTTCGAAAATCTTGCTTCGTGACCATCAACATGCTATATTTTTGGAATCAGCGTGTCGAGATCTACGTCCTTGAATTTTTTCATAATTTTTAAACAACTTTTTTAAAATTGAAATTTTTTAACGGTCCCCCCTTCTTCAAATTTCGCAAAAATTTTGACATTTTCGAAACTCAACTAAATACATTTTCTTGTAGATTTCGAGCCGTAGAACTCAAATCCGGCTTCGGTTTTTTGATACATGCAACCGTTTTTCCAGAATCGACCGTTGAAATTTCGAAATTTTTGAAATTTTCAAAAATTCGCATTTCGCAACGATTTTTTCGAAAATCTTGCTTCGTGACCATCAACATGCTATATTTATGGAATCTGCGTGTCGAGATCTACGTCCTTTAATTTTTCATAATTTTTAGACAACTTTTTTAAAATTGAAATTTTTCAATTCTTCAAATTTCGCAAAAATTTTGACATTTTCGAAACCCAACTAAATACATTTTCTTGTAGATTTCGAGCCGTAGAACTCAAATCCGGCTTCGGTTTTTTGATACATGCAATTTTTTTTCCAGAATCGACCGTTGAAATTTCGAAATTTATGAAATTTTCAAAAATTCGCATTTCGCAACGATTTTTTCGAAAATCTTGCTTCGTGACCATCAACATGCTATATTTTTGGAATCAGCGTGTCGAGATCTACGTCCTTGAATTTTTTCATAATTTTTAGACAACTTTTTTAAAATTGAAATTTTTTAACGGTCCCCCCCTTCTTCAAATTTCGCAAAAATTTTGACATTTTCGAAACTCAACTAAATATATTTTCTTGTAGATTTCGAGCCGTTGAACTCAAATCCGGCTTCGGTTTTTTGATACATGCAACCGTTTTTCCAGAATCGACCGTTGAAATTTCGAAGTATCTGAAATTTTCAAAAATTCGCATTTCGCAACGATTTTTTCGAAAATCTTGCCTCGTGACCATCAACATGCTATATTTTTGGAATCAGCGTGTCGAGATCTACGTCCTTGAATTTTTTCATAATTTTTAGACAACTTTTTTAAAATTGAAATTTTTTAACGGTCCCCCCTTCTTCAAATTTCGCAAAAATTTTGACATTTTCGAAACTCAACTAAATACATTTTCTTGTAGATTTCGAGCCGTAGAACTCAAATCCGGCTTCGGTTTTTTGATACATGCAACCGTTTTTCCAGAATCGATCGTTGAAATTTCGAAATTTTTGAAATTTTCAAAAATTCGCTTTTCGCAACGATTTTTTCGAAAATCTTGCTTCGTGACCATCAACATGCCATATTTTTGGAATCAGCGTGTCGAGATCTACGTCCTTGAATTTTTTCATAATTTTTAGACAACTTTTTTAAAATTGAAATTTTTTAACGGTCCCCACTTCTTCAAATTTCGCAAAAATTTTGACATTTTCGAAACTCAACTAAATACATTTTGTTGTAGATTTCGAGCCGTTGAACTCAAATCCGGCTTCGGTTTTTTGATACATGCAACCGTTTTTCCAGAATCGACCGTTGAAATTTCGAAGTTTCTAAAATTTTCAAAAATTCGCATTTCGCAACGATTTTTTCGAAAATCTTGCTTCGTGACCATCAACATGCTATATTTTTGGAATCAGCGTGTCGAGATCTACGTCCTTGAATTTTTTCATAATTTTTAAACAACTTTTTTAAAATTGAAATTTTTTAACGGTTCCCCCTTCTTCAAATTTCGCAAAAATTTTGACATTTTCGAAACTCAACTAAATACATTTTCTTGTAGATTTCGAGCCGTAGAACTCAAATCCGGCTTCGGTTTTTTGATACATGCAACCGTTTTTCCAGAATCGACCGTTGAAATTTCGAAATTTTTGAAATTTTCAAAAATTCGCATTTCGCAACGATTTTTTCGAAAATCTTGCTTCGTGACCATCAACATGCTATATTTTTGGAATCAGCGTGTCGAGATCTACGTCCTTGAATTTTTTCATAATTTTTAGACAACTTTTTTAAAATTGAAATTTTTTAACGGTCCCCCCTTCTTCAAATTTCGCAAAAATTTTGACATTTTCGAAACTCAACTAAATACATTTTCTTGTAGATTTCGAGCCGTAGAACTCAAATCCGGCTTCGGTTTTTTGATACATGCAACCGTTTTTCCAGAATCGACCGTTGAAATTTCGAAGTTTCTAAAATTTTCAAAAATTCGCATTTCGCAACGATTTTTTCGAAAATCTTGCTTCGTGACCATCAACATGCTATATTTTTGGAATCAGCGTGTCGAGATCTACGTCCTTGAATTTTTTCATAATTTTTAAACAACTTTTTTAAAATTGAAATTTTTTAACGGTTCCCCTTTCTTCAAATTTCGCAAAAATTTTGACATTTTCGAAACTCAACTAAATACATTTTCTTGTAGATTTCGAGCCGTAGAACTCAAATCCGGCTTCGGTTTTTTGATACATGCAACCGTTTTTCCAGAATCGACCGTTGAA